ATGAAACAAAAAGTTGATAAGAACAGATAGGCACAAGGTATAATATGATGTGCCCAGTAAGGACGGATACATAAGGACATACATGGAATACGAAGAACTGGTAAGGAAAAGTCAAACATCATGCATGCCACACCAGACACGCACGCGGAAACGTTGCAACTAGTTTATTGAAAGCTGCAATTCTCACAGTAACAAAGCTATTCGATTATTTCATTCTGCGAAAAACACAAACTGTGAATTCGACAAATAAAAAGTATTCTCAGTTTAATAAATACTCAACAACATTGTTTCACTCCATAACTATGCAGCTTCAAGATTACAACTTTGAAAACAATCTAAAACTGTTGACCCTACAAATAGTAAACGGTCGCAACTTTTGCATTTAGTACATTGAAAATTGTCATCAACTACTAGACTCACTTTCAAGCAAAGATTTGCAGCTGATACTATGCTACAGAATAAAATAACAAATCAATCGCTCTAAAAAGAACTCTTTTCAAATATATTACTCAATTCGAACAACACGTTTGGAATTGATAACATGATCGATGATCATATCACAAATCAATCATTTTCACAAAGACTATGTAAAACTATCTTGCTCGACTCGAACCAAAGCTTTAGAATTATACCACAATTGATGATCACATCACAAATCAATCATTCTCAAGAAGACTCTGTTCAACTATTTTGCTTATTTTGAACCAAAGATTTCGTGTTAATGACAAAATCTAGGATCACAAGATAAATCAATCATTCTCATCAACACTCTGTTCAATTATTTTCCTTCTTTTGAACCAAAGATTTTGTGTTAATGACATAATCTATGATCACACGATAAATCAATCATTCACATCAAGACTCTGTTCAACTATTTTTCTTCCATTGAAGCAAAGATATCGAGTTCATCATATGATCGATGATCACAAGATAAATTAATCATTTTCATCACGACTCTGATCAACTATTTTATTCATTTCACGGCAACGGTTTGCAGCTGACAACCTGATCGATGATCACATGACAAATCAATCATTCTCACTAAGACACTCACCAGCTATTTTGCCCTTTTCGAAGGGAAGCTTTGCAGTTGATAACATCATCGATGTTCACATGACAAATCAATCATTCTTAATAAGACTCTGTTCAACTATTTTGCTCATTTCCAGGCAAAGACTTCCAGCTGATAATATGATCGCTGTTAACGTGACAAGTCAATTATTCCCAACAACACTCTGTTCAACTATTTTGCCCCTTTCGAAGGAAAGCCTTGCAGTTGATAATATGATCGATTGTCACATGAAAAACCAATCATCAGAATCAGCACATTTACCACATTTACGCCATTATATGTCCATCCGATCATCACTACGTAAGAATTTGAAGTTCGCAACATGAACGATAATCACAAGACAAAAGGACCTCACTAAATAGGACGCTTTTCAACTATTTTGCTAAATTCAAACAACAGCTATGTAATCGGTAACATCATCGATGATCAAATGACAAATCAATCATTCTCAGGAAGACTCTCTGCAACTATTTTGCTCATTTCAAAACAAATCTTTGCAGTTGATAACATGGTCGATGATCACATGACAAATCAATCATTCTCACCAACACTCTCTGCAGCTATTTTGCTCATTTCGACGCAAATCTTTGAAGCTGATACCATGATTGATGTTACCATGACAAATCAATCATTCTCATCAAGACACCGTTCAACTATTTGGCTTATTTCGAAGCAAAGATTTCGAGTTGATGAGATGTCGATGATCACATGACGAACCAATCATTCTCAACACGGCACCGGTTAGTTATTTCGGTCATTTCGAAGCGAAGGTTTGAAGTTAATAACATCATCGACGTTAACCTGAGAAATCAATCATTCTCAGCAAGACTCTCTTCAATTATTTTGCTTATTTCTGAGCAAAGTTTTCCAATTTATAATATGATAAATGATCACACCATATATCGGTCATTCTCAGGAAGACTCTGTTCAAGTATTTCGCTCGTTTTCAAAGCAACGTTTTTCAGTTCATAACATGATCGATGATCACAAGATAAATCAATCACTTGAAGGAAGACCCTGTGCAGCTATTAAGCTTATTTCGAAGCAAAGATTTCGAGTTTATGACATGTCCATAATCATATGAGAAATCAATCGTTCTCATCAAGAGTCTGTTCCACTATTTAGCTTATTTAGAAGCAAAGGTTTCGAGTTTATCGCATGTCCATAATCATACGAGAAATCAATCATTCTGAAGAAGACTCTGTGCAGCTATTTTGCTCATTTGAAAGCAAAACTTTGAAGTTGATATCATGATCGATGTTACCAAGACAAATCAATCATTATCACCAAGACTCTGCGCAGCTATTTTCCTCATTTCGAAATAAATCTTAGAAGTTGATAATATGGTCGATGATCACATGACAAATGCATCATTCTCACCAAGACTCTGTGCAGTTATATTGCTCATTTTTGAAGTAAATCTTTGAAGTCGATATTATGGTCAATGTTACCCTGACAAATCAATCATTCTCATCAAGACTCTGTTCAACTATTTGGCTCATTTCCAACCAAAACTTTTGGATTCATAACATATTCAATAATCACAAGATTAATCAATTATTCTCACGAACACTCTCTTCAACTATGTTGCTTATTTCGAACCAACGTTTTTTAGTTCATAACATGATCAATGATCATAAGATTAATGAAGCGTTCTCACAAATACTCTCTTCAGCTATATTGCTCATTTCGAAGCAAAGCTTTCAACTTGATAACATGATAGATGCTAACATGACAAATCCATCATTCTCAGCAAGACTCTGTTCAATTATTTTGCTGAATTTCAAGGAAAGCTTTCGAATTGGTAACATGACACATCATCATATGACAAATGAATCATTCTCATTAACGTCCAGTTCAATTGTTTTTGCTCAATTCGGATGAAACCTTTGTAGTGCATAACATGATTCACGAGAAGATGTTAAATGGATGATTCTCAAAAAGACTCGGTATAACTATTTTCCTGATTTCCAAGCAAAGCTTTGAAATTTGTAACATGATCGACGATTGTATGACAAATCGGCCATTCTCATAAATACTCTAGTGAGCTGTTTTACTGATTTTCAAGCAAAACTTTTGAAGTGATAACGTGAACGATGATCACATGACAAATAAATCATTCTCAGGAAGACTCTGTACAGCTATTTTGCTCATTTCGAACCAAATCTTTGAAGTCGATAACATGGTCGATGATTACATGACAAATCAATCATTCTCACCAAGACTCTCTGCAACTATTTTGCTCATTTAGAAGGAAATCTTTGAAGTTGATATCATGGTCGATGCCACCGTGACAAATCAATCATTCTTATCAACACTCTGTTCAACTATTTTGTTCATTTAGAAGCAAAAGTTTTGGCTCCATAACATAATCAATAATGACAATATTAATCAATCATTCTCACGAACTCTCTCTTCGACTACTTTGCTTATTTCGAACCAACGTTTTTCAGTTCATAACATGATCAAAGATCACAAGGTAAATCAATTATTCTCACGAAGACGCTCTTCAGCTATATTGCTCATTTCGAAGCAAAGATTTGGCGTTCAGTGCATTATCGATGATCATATGAGAAATCAATCATTCTCAACAAGACTCTCTTCAACTATTTTGCTTATTTCGAAGCAAAGATTTCGAGTTCATGGCATGTGGATGGTTAGATGAGAAATCAATCATTCTGAACAAGACTTGTTCAGGTATTTTGCTAACTTCGAAGGAAAGCTTTGAAGTTGATAACATGATCCATGTTAACAGTACAAATCCATCATTCTCAGTAAGACTCTGTTCGATTATTTTGATGAATTCGAAGGAAAGCTATGGAATTGGTAACATAATACACCATCACATGACAAATCAATCATTCTCAATAACGTCCTGTTCAAATTGTTTCCTCAATTCGGATGAAACCTTTGTAGTGCATAACATGATTCACGTAAAGATGTTAAGTGGATGATTCTCAAAAAGACTTGGTATAACTATTTTCCTGATTTCGAAGCAAAGCTTTGAAATTTGTAACATGATCGACGATTGTATGACAAATCGGCCATTCTCATAAAGACTCTAGTGAACTGTTTTACTGATTTTCAAGCAAAACTTTTGAAGTGATAACGTGAACGATGATCACATGACAAGTAAATCATTCTCACCAAGACTCTGCGCACTTATTTTGCTCATTTCGAAGAAAATCCTTGAAGTTGATAACATGGTCGATGAGCACATGACAAATCAATCATTCTCACCAACACTCTCTGCAACTATTTTGCTCATTTAGAAGCAAAACTTTGAAGTTGATAACATGATCGATGTTAGCATGACAAATCAATCATTCTTATCAAGACTCTGTGCAGCTATTTTGTTCATTTTGAAGCAAATCTTTGAAGTCGATAACATGGTCGATGATCACATGACAAATCAATCATTCTCACGAACACTCTCTTCAACTATTTTGCTCATTGTGAAGCAAATCTTTGAAGTTGATAAGATGGTGGATGATTACATGTTAGATCAATCATTCTCACAATAAGTCTGTTCATTCATCTTGCTGAGTTCAGAGTAAACGTTGATATTTAGTTAGATGATTAACCACGACATTATAAAGAAATCATTCTCATTAAGACTCTGTTGAACTATTTTGGTAAATTCGAACCACAACTATGGAATTGGTAACATGATCGATGATGAAATGACAAGTCAATCATTCTCAATAAGACTCTCTTCAAGTATTTTGCTTATTTCGAAGCAACGTTGTCCAGTTCATAAAATGATCAATGATCACAACATAGAGCGGTCATTCTCACGAACACTGTGTTCAACTATTTAGCTTATTTTGAAGCAAAGATTTTGACTTCATGACATGATCGATGATCACGAGTTAAATCAATCATTCTGAAAAAGACTCTATTCAAGAATTTTGCTCATTTCGAAGCAACGTTTTTCAGTTCATCACATGATCGATGATAACAAGTTAAATCGGTGGTTCTCATCAAGACTCGGTGCAGCTATGTTGCTGATTTTGAAGGAAAGCTTTCGAACTGGTAGCATAAACGATGATCGCAAGACAATTCAATCATTCTCAACCAGTCTCTGTTCATTATTGTGCTTATTTTGGAGCAAAGCTTTCGAACTGCTAACATGAACGATGATCAGAAGAGAAATCGGTCGTTCTCATCAAAACTCTATGCAGGTATTTTGCTCATTTGGAAGCAAAGCTTTGATGTTAGTAACATGATCGATGTTATCATGGCAAATCAATCTTTATCACCCGCACTCTGTTCTACTATTTTGCGCATTTAGAAGCAAAGATGGCTAGTTCATCGCATGGTTGATAATCACAAGTTAAATCGGTCGTTCTCATCAAGACACGGTCCAGCTATTTGGCTCATTTGAAAGCAAATTTTTGAAGTTCGTAACATAATGGATGTTATGAGGAGAAATCAATCATTCTGATCAAGAGTGTGCTCAACTATTTAGCTTATTGTGAAGCAAAGATTTCGAGTTCATCGCATGGTCGATGATCACAAGTTACATCAATGATTTGGAGGAAGACTCTGTACAGCTATTTTTGTCATTTGGAAGGATAACTTTGAAGTTGATAAGATGATCGATGTTATCATGACAAATGAATCATTCTCATCAAGAATCTGTTCAACTATTTTGCTTACTTTGAAGCAACGATTTCGTGTTTATTGCATGATCGATGATCACAAGTTAAATCGGTCGTTCGCATTAAGACACTGTCCAGCTATTTGGCTCATTTGGAAGCAAATCTTTGAAGTTCGTAACATGATCGATGTTATGATGAGAAATCAATTATTCTGATCAAGAGTGTGTTCAACTATTTAGCTTATTGTGAAGCAAAGATTTCGAGTTCATCGCGTGGTCGATGATTACAAGTTACATCAATGATTTGGAGGAAGACTCTGTACAGCTATTTTTGTCATTTGGAAGGATAGCTTTGAAGTTGATAAGAGGATCGATGTTATCATGATAAATCAGTCATTCTCAGGAAGACTGTCTTCAACTGTTTTGCT